TTGTAGAAAACTCTGAAAGATAAGACAAAAATTACAATTTTGCTTTAAAAAATTATCGGGGTTTAATGCAAGTTCCTATTGATTCTTCTTCACTAAACACAATTCAGAAGATAATTTTAAGAGAGTTTGGAGCCAGGAGAAAAAAATCTTAAGACGAAAACCTGCATACAAATGTTTATAGCAGCTCTACTCATAACTGCAAAACCTAGAGGCAACCAACGTGGACTTCCACAGGTAAATGGATGTGGTATATCCACATGAGGGATTAGTACTCAGTGATTAGAAACAAAGAGCTGGGGGCACCTGGGTGGCTCAGTGGTTGAGCCTCTGCCTTCGGCTCGGGCCTTGATCTTGGGGTCCTGGGATCGAGCCCCCACATTGGGCTCTCTGCTCGACGGGGAGCCTACTCCCCACCCCACTCCCCGTCTCTCTGCCTACTTGTGATCTCTGTCTGTCAAATAAATAAATAAAATCTTTAAAAAAAAAAAAACAAAAAAGAGCTGTCAAGCCACAAAAGACATAGAAGAAAGCTTAAAAGCATATTATTGCTAAATGAAAGAAGTCAGTCTGGAAAGGGTACCTACTGTATGATTCCCACTATAGGACATTCTGGAAAAGGCCAAAGTATAGAGACAGTAAAAAGGTGAGTGGTTGTCGGGGGCTGGAGGGGAGAGAAGGTGAACAGGTGGAGCAGAGGGGATGTTTAGGGCATGAAAGGATTCTTTGTGATAACTGTCATGGGAGATACAGGACATTACGCATTTGTGAAAACCCGAACACCGTGTATAACATGAAGAATGAGCTCTAATGTAAACCACAGACTTTAGTTAATGACATAACAGTAACTGGTTCATAATTATGACGAAGGTAGCACACCAATGTAGATGTTACTAATAAGGGCAGCTGTGAGGCCAGTGGTGGTGGATATAAATCAAGAACTCTGTGGTTTTTGTTGTTGTTTTTTTAAAGAAGAGGATATTATCTTTTTTATTTTATATTAAGATTTTATCTGGCAGAGAGAAAGAGAGAGAGACAGCACAAGCAGGGCGAGATGCAGAGGGAGAGGGGAAGTAGGCTCCCTGCCGAGCAAGGGAAGCCCGATATGGGACTCGGTCCCAGACCCCAAACCCATGACCCGAGCTGAAGGCAGTTTAACCAACTGAGCCACCCAGGCGCCCCAAGAACTTTGTGCTTTATGCTCAATTTATCTGTTAACCCAAAACTGTTCTAAAAAGTCAAGTCTATCAGAAAAATTGTACGACAGGTTAAAGAGGGAAAAAGGCTGGCTAATCTGAACAGAGACAGAAGGGATTCCATATTGTAAAATGATGTGAATTCCTTACATCTCACACACCTTAGCTTACGATGGCCTATTTTTGACTGAAACAATATGTGTCTAGTTAAACACCAGGACATCAGTGTAGTATTATCTTTGCTTCAGAACTGGAGGGGATGTTAGAGATGAATAAACAGGTTGAGATAAACTTAGAAATTAACTGTGCCTACCGAACACTCCGAATGTTTCTGAAGAAGGAAAATTGTGTATGGTTTGTTCTGGAGCAAAGTACATATGTTTAAGTATTGTGGGTAAAAATACAGTTGCTTAAGATGCAGTAAAAACACTCCTGAAATTTTTATTTAGGGTAACAGATTGGCATGTACCCCGAATTACTACATATGACTGTACCTAAATGGTTTAATGTGGCTAATTTTACAGAGTCTTTGAGGGTTCTTAAAGCTCTTTATCAATATAAATGATCCACATTTTCAGCTGTTTTAAAATTCAGGAAAATAAAGGTTCCACGGGCTCATTAGACAGGTGGTGCAGCCTCGGGTCAGGAGTTTGGAGGTAAAGGTAAATCACCCCAGTTCCAACCCTGGCTGGACAGCTTCCTTGCTGGGTCACCTGGGGTAAGTTACTTGACTTTTCTTTTGCCTTGCTTCCCCCACATGAAAGGCGGGAACAATAGCAATAGTTACCCCATGATTAGATGAACGAATGCACAGAATCACGTGTGCGAGGCCTGCAATACAGCTCTTGAGCATTAACTGTTATTGGTATGGATAAACCGACTTTAGGAGACCCTGCCTTTTGGGGAATCACGTAGCATGCTCCTGCAGACAGACGGATGCACAAAGACCCCCCCCTCCCAACAGTGGTACTTCTCCCACTTTGGGGAAACTAAAAATGTTAACATGTTGGACTCCTCCACTGACCTGTGAAGTCAGTGGGAGCAGGAGCCAAATCTTTGGCATGTGTGTTAACAAAGTACACCAAGGAAATATTTCTCAGAATAAAGAACCAAACTGATTTACTTCTTACTGGGAAAGTAGTTTTAATTTCAACTATAACACATACTGTTGAGTTGAAAGGTCTTCCCCCACCCCCACCAAACGAGTAAACCAGGTCAAGTTTAATCTACAGTACTTTGGCCTAATGATATTACTATATATCAATTTTTAAGATCCTCTGTGTTCTGAAGTATTTCCCTGGGTGGACTTGATGATTCTGGGACTTTGGGCTGCGAGGCCACCATGTTGAAAACAGAGAAAACAGCAACTTGAGGGTCAAACTGAAAATTAACTGCAAGTAGAGACGGACCCCATTTTCAGCTGGTGAGGGTTCTAACTCACAACACAACAGTCCCGGATAACAGCAAGTCTGTGCTTCTAGTTAGGAAAGGCTCTAGTGAATCCAGTGAGTGCAATGTTAGCTTCTGTACCAGACACTGATATTTATTTAATCAGGATGGAAAATAAGAGTTGGTAATATTTGAAGAAGCAATAAAGTTCCTATTTTCATGTAAACGACCCCAAGTAAACACCAAGGGCAGCAAACCAGAAAAAACACCCCAAAGAACAGAATGGCTTCTAACAGACGGCCTTTTCTGTTTCATTTTAAGCAAAAGACAAGTATTTGACTAAATTATTCTCCACGGACACTATTAAAATGGCTTTCCTGTTGTTATCAGAATGGAATTTCAGATCCACTTAATTTCAAGAAATTGACTGAAATTCAAATCACAAATCTGGTTTTAAATGGTGCTCTGTACTCTATGCACTATTTATGCTGATTACAGCATTGAAGTAGCTGGGCTCCGATAACAGAGTTAATAGTATTAAATCAGAGATGCCAAATTAATTTCTTAGATGTGTTCATAAATAGCTCTAAAATTATTATGAGGCTTGACGGTTGAAAAATGTTCCTATTTTCTTATTGTTCAATGGTGACATAATTTAGATCAGATATACATTGAAAATACAAGATTATAATATAAAATTATATTATAAATTATAAAACTATGAACGAGGACCCCTAAGGGGCATCTAGTCCAATGTCCTCATTTTCTAAGTAAGAAAACGAGGCCTTGGAGGAGCAGGGGAGCGTAGTAGTTGAATGCTTGGGCTCTGGAGTCTGAAAGACCTGTGTTCCAGTTCCAGATTGGCAAGTTCTTTACTATGTGACCTTGGGAAGGTTACTTAGCCTCCTCAAGCTTCAGGTCTCTTCAAGTGTAGAATGGGGATAAGGACTGCACTAAGCTCTAGGTTTGTGGTAGGATTAAATGGGATAAATATGCAAAACATTCAGCTCAGCACAGAAAATTGGTACATTTTAACTACTCCTTAAATATTAGCAGTTATTATCATCATGACTAAGAGTGACTTCCAAGGCAATGTAAGCAGCATCAAAACCAGAACATGGAGTTCCTGACACATATCACAGCTTTTCTTCATCTAAATGCAGTACCTGGGATAAAAGATTTATTGGCACAGACAATATAAGTATAACTCTACATCAAACAGAAGGATAACTAATTTCAGTCTTTCTGTTACTGAACTGATCCGAATATTAAATCAGCGATTACTTCTGGAGGTCTCAATTTCATGAAGATTCACCCATACTTAGCTTTCCATGAGCAATTGACATTACATATTTGCCTTCCTGTTTTAAATTTTTAAATATTTCTCACCCGATGCCTGCTCATGTAAAAAAAAAACAAAAAAAAACAACGTATATTGGCCACAAGTAAGAGCTAGGATTCACTTGCTAACAATGTTAAATTTGACTCTGGTTAGTTGCTATATGAAATGAGTCTACTATTCTTAATCTGTACTGTCAGGTGTGGCCATAGCCTCTATACATCTGTTATGGAGGAAGCAAGGATAAGGGACACATTTAAAACAAACAAACAGACAAGCGGGGGAAGGATAGGGTGGCTGGGTTATGGACATTGGGGGAGGTATGTGCTATGGTGAGTGCCGTGAACTGTGTAAGACTGATGATTCACCTGTACCCCTGAAGCAAATAATACACTGTATGTTAATAAACAAATAATATGTTAATAAAACAAACAAACAAACAAACAAAACTATAGTGGATGTGTAGTATGAGTAAGATTCAGTTTGGGTAGTAGAGACTCCTGGGAATCCAGGGACCAATGATCACAGACATTTACAGTTGCCATTTTTGTCAATATTGACTGCCCTTACCTGATTTACTCAGAGTTGAATGTTTTTTTCTTATACAAAAAAAAAAACCAAAAAACAAAAACCTCAGAGTTGAGAAGTCTCATAAAGAATATTGGCTTTATACAATAAGCTCTTGATAGCTGAGCATTTGATAATCTTTTATGTAATTGGTGGTCTTCACAGTAAATATTCTCAGACTGCTTAAAGCGTTTTCTTGCAATAAACTAAAGACTGTCTCTTAAGCTGGAGAATGACCAAAGTACATACAATTAACTTTAAATCTTTAAAAATAAGAGTAAATGCAACATGGCATAAATACATCAGTACGTCCAGCAGATATCAACTCACACTACAGTCAGATAAGCTCAAGTATAAACATGAACAAAGACTAAACACCTTTTTATGTAACAGTAATGTGATTCAGCAGACCAGCAGATGAAGAAAATAGTCATTTGAAAAGTGGTAATTTGTAACCATACCCGGTATTTAGTATTTCAGCGACTAGAAATAAAATTGTTTGGCAAACTTACCCGCATTTTTGCACAGGCATCTTGGGTTGATTCTGTCCCTCTGAGCTCTTTTATCAGCATAGAACCTAAATACTAAAATACAAAACAATTCAATGGTTTATGAAAAAATATAGTAAGAGTTGCGATTTAAAACCACACTGTGGAAGTCCTACTGGCTGGGTTTCCTGGCTGAAAGTTGTTAGATAACTTTTATAAACTAAGAGTAATCCTAACAAATAAATGCTTTTAAAGAGAGAATGCTGTAGAATTAACTACAGTTCTGAGAGCTGTAAATTGCCCTTTATAATAAAACCGCAGCATTTTCTAAAGATGCCATCTTTCAAATCATATTTAACTGCAAAATGGGGGCATCTAAAAATGTTTTTCCTTTTTTTTTTTTTTAGGCAGCAATGTCTGCAAAAATAAATCACGCTACCCTCCACATAATTACAGGGTTGTATGAGACAGCTGAGAAGCTAAGCGATATGCACCCCATTTGGGCTGAGTTGGCTGCGTAGGTAATTAACGTTAGGCCGCTCTCGGGCGGAGATTCAGTTCGGGGTCTCAGCGTTCACAGCTGCGCGCCCAGTGCTTGATCCACCTGGGAATGAGATGGGCACAAGGTGGGAGCCTGCGGGGACGAGGAACGACCTCTCCGTTGTTCCAGAAGGGGGAGAGTCCAGTTCCTGGTGCACACCGACACGGAGGGGCTGAATGGGGTAGGAGAGATGAGAACGTCCTCACTTTTTTGTTAGGGGATCTGATCCAATACTGCCTCGGTGCCAAACGCCACTCACTAAGTTCTGGCTGGGGGGCGGGGAGGACGACAAAGAGTTTGTAGCAAAATGTCTATTTTGCCTTTCCATCAATTGACTCCTCTCCAACTTTTCGAAGCTTCAATAGGGTTTCTTTCTTTTGTCATTTTTTTCCTTCCCTAATCTAACTGCCCCCAACAAAAAAAAAAAAAAAAAAAAAAAAGAGCGCGAAAGAGCTCTATGTGTCTTTAAAAAAACAAAAAACAAAACAAAATGAAAATCATAATTTTCCTTACATGGCACGGGGCAAAAACCCGACTGCGAACCGGGCGTGCGGACCAGGCACAGCCGGACGCGAAGAGGGGCGTGCTTTGAAAGAGCGGGGGCGTGGCTGAGGGCCCCGCAGCAAGGCGAGCTCCAAAGGCCCAAGGGTTTGTGGGGCGTTTGAGCTTTGCAGGAAGGAGGCATTTCAGTTCCACAGTCTGGAGAGATTACTGCTGAGATGAACCCAATGCTCCACGATAAGTAGGCAGTAAAAGAGGTATAGATAATAAAACGAACAAAAGGCCGAAATTGCTAGGCGACAACCAGAATGCCCACGTCTTAATCAAATTAAGAAAAAGGATCTCGGAGAAATCCTTGCCTTTTCAGCTATGGGGGAATTCTGCCCTAACTGAAACATTTCTTTTTTAAAAAGAGGTGATTTTACTTTTCCTGCTGCAGCCATGACAACCACCTGTCCCCAAACCTATGGTATTCTTTCAATATTTACCTGTTCATATTACTTGTAATTCTCAGCTCAGCCTGATTCTGTCTCCTATTAGAACAAGGTATCCAGTAATAGAACCCTAATGAAAAAAATCGGGTAGTAGACCCAGTGTTTTGGGATCATTGGTCAGTGAATGTTGCTGTCTATATATGTTATACTTATATGCATTTCCATTTTAAGATTGTGCTTTAACATATTTCATTTAAAATATACAACTGTGTAAGAAGAAGGCAAAATAGACCTTAAGCTTACAAGAATAAAAGGGATTATTAACCTCTATTTACTTGGACATTCTCAGTATAGGAAAGGCTACTTTAAGGAAAAGAGAAGGGGAGAACATTTTAAGAGTTCCATTGATGGCCACTTCGGTGTATTTCCAATATAAAAGTAAACAAGCCAGAAGTACACCCTCTATTCCCGCTGGTACCCAAATACTGAATAGATGGTAACTTACAAAAGCTTTGTAATCACATGATTGGAAGATGAGCTTTTCTGGGTGGTGCTGCCAGTACTGAACTGGAGTTGAGGCTGTGGCTTCATTTGGAGGTCGCAAAGTAATGGAAGGTTCTCCCCAGTCTCCTGTCTGAAAATCACATTTATTCTAGAGGTAATATGAGCAGTTGGCAAAGTTCATTCCCTATAGTTAGCCTGAGTTCATTTTACACATGTGTGCTAGAATGGGCAAATGCGTCTGGGTGTATTATATGTGTAGAAATACTTTTACTATTTTTTATTGGTTTTATATATGTGATAGCATCATATTTCCCAAAGCTGAGTTAATTTCTCAGGCGTGAAAGAAGTTATTCCATTTTTAGAAGGACACCCTAAGCTATGTGATTTTAAAATAAAACATGGAGATACTCATAATGATGCACTAATTCATAATTTTCTGTTACAACAGAAAAAGAACATATGAACTTTGAAAGACTTTTCTGTTTTTAAGCTTGCTTATTTGAACTTTTTAGTCTGAATTGTTTTTACATTCAGAATACACAGCTTCATGAATTTCAGTTTCCAAATATGACATGTACCATGTACTTGGGATGATTTTAGATCTCTGGAGAAAAGGTAGTGTAAGTGTGATTCTAAACAAAATTTCACAAGAAAAATTTACAAATGGATGACTAGTTTTCCTCATCTGAGTTCACTTGTATTGATAAAATGCCACTGTGACAGTCTTGGATGTATTCAGCTACCTTTCTCAGAAAACCTAAAGCACAAATGAATAATAAACATTCAAATGCCAAGTTTGGTCATACGTGCATATGCATGTACTTGAGGATCTTAATTCACAAATACAGGCAAATGCACATATGATGGCGTATCCCACTAAGACAGACCCAAGACAGAAGGACATCCCATCCTTCCATCTATCATTTTCCATGAGGTTAGCTTCGACTAGTTTTATTACTATAATGGCTTAGTGTGAGCATCTATAAAGTCAAAGGCTGGCGTTGGCAGGTCTGTTCTGGGTTCTAATCTGATTTAGATATTATAATAGGGGTGATTTCTCACTCTTTTCCCAGGTAAAGTTCCCAATTTCTCAAAATTCAACTCTTTGTTCTCAAATGGACATTAACAAAAACTAGACAACAGGTAGATTTCCAAAGTTACTCTCTTTTAACCTGGATCTGGCTGCTCTTGTAGAATTAAAAGAATTACCTTTCTCAGGAGTTGAAAGGATATAAATAGGTCTCATGAGCTCCCAAACCAAGTAAAACTTTGGTCAGAGACCAAGTTCTACTGAAGTACTAACAAATGGATTAATACTGTAGGGTTTCTTAAGGAGGATTTTCAAGGAATCTAGCATAAGAACACAGAATTTTGGGTGTAGGTGTATGTTTTGGGGGGAGAAAAAAGTCGACAGCTTTCAATAAATTCTCCGAAAGGCTCAGAAACTCCAGCAGGTTAAAAACCGTGAGTCTCCAGAAGTAGCTTACACGGGACGTGTGTTTTGGGGAAGAGGACTAGCATTTCAATTTTCTCTGTGCAGTTTGGACTTACGTTAGGTGACACGTGAGGTTGGCTGCTAAGGCTGGGAAGTGTTAGGAATAGGCTTTGCTTTCTGAAGTTTCTGTCTTTGAAAAACCAAAAGAAAATTCTAGAGCCCCTCAGGAATGCACAGGCCTTTTCACTGAGGCAGAGAACCTCTAGTCTAAGCCATTCTGTTAGTTTGGTTCTAGATCCTAACTTACTTGCATATGGCTTGGTTCTCCTATCTCCTGTCTGTTGAAATTGTTAAGACTTTACCTGAAATAATTACTTTAGCATTTCTGTCTGTCTTTATGACCCATCCCTGACTCATTCTTGAGTTTTCTAAGTTTTATTTTGTTAAAAAAAAAAAAAAAAAAAGACTGGCTGCAATTAATTCCAGGAGAAAGTTTTCCTCTGGCTGCCTATTATGATCTTCTCTTTCTCTTTCAAACATCTGGTCTACAACATCTATCAGTCTTTAATTCAACTGGCTGTGATTTGCTCTTAAAAAAAAAAAAAACTAGTATGAAATTGAAAATGTAGAAAATGTGGATTTCAAAGCTATTTTGAAGCTGACTGTAATAACCTTTAAGTGATAATACCTATAGTTAAAACTCTGGAAACATGCAGCCAGGAGTTCTTAATTAAAAGCTCTCCCCAAATCCAGCAAATCCTCTAGTCCGCCCCATTCACCTTCTTCCCCTCCCTCGATAAAGCAACAACAACACAGCAAACAGGTGTTGTACATTTAAGTCACGGGTAACACTGTTAACAGAACAACAGAAGTTTGCACGCAACTCCGTGGAATGATACAAAAGGAGGAGCTGGTTGACGTTAAGATCTTTCGATCCAGTGTTTTCCGGGTGACAAATGAAACCCAGCATCAGATAATCACTTCAGCCCTGTCTTAGTTTAGCTGAAGTATCCCTTGGCTGAGCTCAACAGGCAGTTCTCACAACAGCCTGAACAGCCATGGCAGGCACTGGGGGTACCACGGGTTGCGGAGCAAAGGCTGGGAACAGGGCTGGGGTGGGGATGAGTGGGGTGCAGCCAGGGTTATGGGGACATTTCAGGTGTTAGTACATTAAGCATGCAAATCGTATGCAAACTCATTCTCTAGTTGCTGAATTAACTCAGGCACTTTTATAATTAAACTTCAATGTGAGTTTCATACACGTCAAGCAGAACTACAGCCAAATGCTCATCCCAATATTCACACCATCCACGTAAGTTGTAGCAGCCATTTTGGGAAGAACGAGCCCCAGCACATAGCACCTCAGTCTGGAAATCATCCCAACCTCTTATTTGATAACCACTTGAAAAACGGGTGGCACATCCAATAAACTCAGTTTAGGCAGGGCCATCATCTGCTCTCTGGGACTCCACTTTGTCCTGAAATCACAAGCCACCTGCTTTGAATTCAGAGTGATCTGACAGGGCCTTCCTACGTGCTATGGGGGAGGGGAGGGAATTATGCGGAAGAGAAATACAATCCCTCCTTTATGTTCTTTGTGGCCTTGAAACATTACTCCAGTCCAAATATTTTAAAATTCTCTATATAGGGACTGGATCTATCTTTCTGGAATAAGAACTGAGTTTTGTCATATGTAGGGCCTATTTCCAGATGTTCATTTTCAAAGATGTAAACAGTGTTCTTAAGATTGAAGTTACAAAAAACATAAATGTACTTGCTTCCTGGAAATTCGTCAGCTTATTATTACTGTGTTTCACTTTAGACCGAAGAATATTTATAAGGCACCACTTGCACGTGTTCAGTCTTCCCTCTGGAGTTAGCTTTCTGAGAGTGGATGGATTTGGTGATACTACTGCCAGCAGGAGGTATGGACTGGGCCTTGGGTTATAGCTTCAACTGGGCCACGGACAGTAAAAGAAAAAAAGATTGGAGAGAATAATGTCCGTTCTGGACACTGGACGGCACCAGGGATGAACTATGGAGGAAGCCGGTAGGGTGGTACAGGGTAGGGACCAGTGAAAGAAACCAAAAAGCAAATTAGGGTTTCCACCTCAGCTATACAATAATTTCAAATGGGGAGGCCCATTGTTAGGTCTTGTAAAATAGTACACTCATATCAAGATGGTACCTGCATTTCCTCAGGTAAATTAATAAAAGTAATTCTCCAGGTAAGTTAATAAAATTAATTTAATAATTTCCCAGTTTTAAAAAACGTGTTAAATATGAAAAAAATCAAACAGACCTAAAACGTCTTTTGCCTCAAAGAAGGTTTATAATCAAACCTTACCCTCGACGAATAGTAGATTTAAACTCAGGGAACAGCGATGCAATTATATTTAAGTAGAATAACAAAACAGGAAAAGATTGGGGTAAAATTCTATTTTAAATTATTACTGGCTGGCAGTACTCTTTAAAAGTTTTAAGTAATTATAGAAGAGAAATTCAATGATTCGAGACACTCTTACTAAATGTCTCCAGGCTGCTTTTTTAGAGCTTAAAATACTTAAAACTTTCCTTTATGTTCATGTATTGAATGATTTTAATATTCTAAGAATTTGGTCATGGCTTAAAACCTCATCTACTTGGTATGTATGTATGTATTTCCTGTAGGATATTATCAATGAAACAAAGGAAAATGGACATCATGAAGAATCCTTTCCAGCTCAAATAAAAATTAAACTGTGAATATAGAGAAAAAACATAATTTGAGATTAGAGCTATAAGTGGAAAATTGATTCTGTTGAACAGGTATTTACCAACTGCCAACTCGGCGTGCACAGTCTGGCGGAGTGTGAAGGGCTACGGTAGGGCCATACTTAACATGATGTAATTAAATCAAACGTCTTTTATCCCACCAACTGAAAAGTATAAAATCATTAACTGAATTTAGTTGTGACCCAGGAAAAAATTCACAAAAGTCTGCAGATAGATTTTTGTTGGATGGCGGAGACTAAAATGCAGCTTTTCAACTTTGCTTTATTCCAAAGGTGTTACAGATGTATGACTTCTGGTTCAAATGCACCAGATACATAAGGCTAATGGAAAAACACTGTATTGCAGAGTTCTCTCCTCCAAACACGGAAACTGAAGATACTACATACTCTCTATCCTCTGTGCATATGAAGGGAACATCGTCTGTAATCTTATTTTCTTCTTGAGAAAAACATTTCCTAAGGATATCAGTAAATAATTAAAAGCCAGAGTTATGACTTAGCTTCCTAACATGAACAGAAAGGTATGGTATTTTTCAAGTCTTGTATTCTGAATTTTTTTTTAATTAGGATTTAATTGATTTTTTTAAAAATAGTAGCTTTTAAATCTTTTCTACTAGGAACTGTTTCCACCTACCTGCTTATAAATTTAGATCTGAATATTAACAAATATTCTCTATTTCTCTAGAACACTTAATGAAAAACGAAAATGATCTTAAATGACGATTGTTAGGTTAAGGCTTCACTTTGAAGGATTCTGACAAATATCGATCAGAGATGAGCTACCCAAACATCCATAAGGTACAGGTGAAAACATTTATTTTCTGTTATCTCTGAGGCTTTGAAGAAATGTTCCCGAGAGCTGAACGCTTATAAATATGTAGACATGGGTTTGGATGTGAATGTAAGGAAGGGCCTCCTACAAACATTCACACACACACACACGGAAGCAGGAGGCTGCAGCAGGTCTTTTGAAAATCTTCCAGAATCAAGAGTGCTAGTTTGGTCAAATGCAGCTGGTTATACTAAATTTGTTCCTTTGGATGATAAAGAGCAGAGATGGCCACTTCTCAACATGAAAAAGCACTGGTTAGCATTTATGGGTTCAGGAGGGACTGCTGGGTCACTGGAGCATCGGTACCAGGCAACGTACAGACCCCATGAGCCCAAGAGCCAGAAGTCCCATGCACGGGGAGGGGTGTGCCTAGCGTGGCACCCCAAAGGGAGGCCCTGCACATGCCACCCTGAGAGCTCTGTTTAGTGATTCTCAACCAAATGTCTTAACCTCTCGGACAGCAGGCTATCCGATGCGAAAAATTTAACAGGATATGAAAATAAGACTGTATTTTAAAATTCAAAACCGAAAAGACCAAATGTTAAAATGTCTATTTCCCAAACAAAACTGCTTTTTTTTTTTTTAAAGTATGCAGAGGTAAGCTGTGAATATTTGAATATCATGCAGCTCAGAGTAAAATGGGTCACGATTTCCCACACATTCCAAAGATCAATTCAGGATTGTCCGATGGAAAAAGGCTGAGAACCACTTTGTAGCTCTAACAGTGTCTCTCCTGGCCAAAGTACTCCCACGCTTGCATAAATGTATACAGAATATCATGCAAATCAGACTCAAATATTTCTCACAACTGAAGCACATGAACCTTTGAGAACTTTTGGACACAATGGATTGACTAGCCCATGGACATGGGGAAGTACGAGATGCGGAAGACTAACACTGATATATACGTGTGTGTGTGTGTATATATATCAATTTACCCTTTTCCTTCTTCCTGTAAAAGCAAGTTAACACAGACACCTGGGATGAAAGCCAAAACTCACATGGGACAGATTTTAACTGCAGACTTTAAAAACCAGGTATGTTTCTCATTTTAGGACAATGTTTGCACATCAACTGGTCACAAGGCACAGTGAATGAGGTATCAGAGACAAGCTCTCAGGAGTCGTGAGACAGCACAGAGTGTCTGCATTGCCAGGACACAGTACCTGCAGCTACTGACAACACTTTGCAACACATTACACAGTGCAAGTTCAGGAAAGAAAATAACCGTTTGTAACCTTACATTATGAACCTGATGGATGGCTGAGAAAGGAAATCCAGCGTTCTGATTCGTCCATATCTCACAGACAGACGACTGCTGATATAAACAGAAAACTATCTCATCTTGTCAATATTTAGAACATGGCAGCTACCAAGGTAGCATCAAGGAAGGGAAGGAGGAAAATAATAAAAAGCAAAGAATCACATTTCTTACACACACACACACACACACACACACACACACACTCAAAAAATGTTTTAGGTTGCCCAGGTTTAATAATTGGCTTCCAACATATTCTTTTGCTTAAAAGCATTTTGGGTTGGCTGGGAAAGAAAAAAGACCATTTAGGCATTAGTTTTATATCAAGGGAGATTACCAGTAAGTTCACATCTTGGAAAAAGCAAATTGTGTTTTACATTTGCCAAAGACAACGGAAATACCTTCCCTTTTCACATAATTCATTTCAGAGGATAAATATTTTCACGGAGTTCAAGAAAGATGGGAAAAAGCCTTTAGAGCAGAATAAATATTTTTGTTTTCTTATCTTCAATGACCAAAAGCAAACAATGCAGTAAAATGACTTTCCTGACTCAGTCATTGCTCCATTTAATAAACCTAGAAGATCCTTCTCCCTCTAGAGTTCTCAAGGGCGGTTGACAAGGGAGAGGGGGAAGCATCAGCTGGCCACTCAGCAGTGGAGGGGCGTGGTGGGGGAGCAGGATACTAGGAGGAAGGATACTAGGCAGGGAGGGGTTGGGGTCAGGAAGCCACGGTCTGTTACTGAAGCAGACACTTTGGGGAACAGCAGTAGGGAGCCTACAATGAGTCAGCTCCATCATTCCGACTCTCCACCACACCATTAACAAGGTAAGAATTAACAATTATTAAAAGGCAATCATGTTTTCTTGTTTAGAACCAAATGCCAAGCTAGGCCCTCCTCCCGGGAGTTACAGCAGAAACCACCAAATAAACCGAAGAGGCTCCTGGCTTGATCTTTACAGAGTTCTTTTCCTGAATTCCATCATTCTAAAAGACACCATGAAATTGAATCACAGAAAATGGCAGCATGCCTAAACTTACTCAGTAAGCACTGTGAACATCCCCAGAATTCACAAGTAGGCCGTACAAAGATCATGCCGGAAGGAGATAAGAACATAACCACAATATGGTTTAGAAGCCCAGTAAAGAACAATCGCATCAGCAAATGAATTATGGAAAAGAAACTTATCCCTGGCTAAATGTTATCCCTACCTTCACCCTCCCAGAAATGCTCACCAGAAACTTAACATCTCTCTGTCCAGTGACAGTGGCATCCCCCCCCCACCCCCGCCCCAGACATCTTTGCTTTCCATCTCTTCTGTCATCTGGATGGCTTGCTGGGGACAGATTGTTAGGTAATTGGCATCCCGTTAAGGAAATAAGATCCCTGGGGTCTGACCGAAGGCAAATGCAACCACCTCCCACTTAAACTGGCTCTGCTACTCAGCTCCATCTCTAGACTTCCTGGTATTCTCTCCACAGGGAATCTTCCTCTTCCTACCTTTCAAAAATTCAATCTCTAGCAGGTTAAGTCTTGTGCCCATTAAATCCCCAGCCACATCCACAATAGCTGGCATCTGATTTAAATATATGAACTCCAGGGGCGCCTGGGTGGCTCAGTGGGTTAAAGCCTCTGCCTTCAGCTCAGGTCATGATCCCAGAGTCCTGGGATCGAGCCCCGCATCAGGCTCTCTGCTCAGCAGGGAGCCTGCTTCCCTTCCTCTCTCTCTGCCTGTCTCTCTGCCTACTTGTGATCTCTGTCAAATAAATAAATAAAAAATTTTAAAAAAATATATATGAACTCCATGCTTTGGTGGGATTACCATCTTAACTGGCACAAATGGGCATGCAGCGGGAGGATACCCCTCACCTTCTCAGTACTCTCATCCACATTTCTGAGCTCATTGTTTCACAACTTTCACAGACTTAAAAAAAAAAAAAGTAGTTATTCACCTGAGAGGTTAGAGAGACAAGAGAGAGGGAGAGTGGGTGGGTGGGTGGGGGGGTGTTTGCAGCGGGAAAGGGAGAGAAAATCTCAAGCAGATTCCCCACTGAGTGCGGAGCCCAATGTGGGTCTCAATCTCACCAGCCTGAGATCATGACCTGAGCCAAAAAGCAAGAGTCGGCTGTTTAAGCGACTGAGATACCTAGGAACCCCAACTTCCACAGACTTTTAATGCTAGAATTAACTAACCCAGGAACCACTTGTCATTTGACAGATGAAGACACTGACATTCAGAAGTGGCTTGCTCAGGTGACACAGGGGAGTGTCACAACATGTCAGTCTGGGATGGCTGGGAAGGAGTGCCAGCCCGGTCTCCCCTCCCTGATGGGCACCACACCACTTGACAGTTGGGGCAGACCCCATAATTTTCTGGTCACTTTGAGTCACTAAGAATCCATTTTGTAAAAAACAAACCCAATATCACCTGATTTAGACCTTGCTTTTCCTCACCACAGGTCAGGCTTGAGACTTAAAAAACCCATGGAGGGGGCGCCTGGGTGGCTCAGTGGGTTAAAGCCTCTGCCTTCGGCTCAGGTCATGATCTCAGGGTCCTGGGATCGAGCCCCGCATTGGGCTCTCTGCTCTGGGAGGAGCCTGCTTCCCTCTCTCTCTGCCTGCCTCTCTGCCTACTTGTGATCTCTCTCTGTCAAATAAGTAAATAAAATCTTTAAAAAAAAAAAAAAAAAAAAAACCCATGGAGGCTTGATTTGTACTTGGTCCTCTCCCTCCTTCTTCCACTAGGAGTAGGGAGGAGTGGGGTGGTATGGTCAATTGTGGATACCCCCCACCCCAAGCTCTACCTCCTTCATGCCCTTTGTTGGGGAGGGGAGTACTGGAGAAGGACGAGGGCCTCTTTTCTTATTCAGTTATGGCTGAATTCTATGACGGCTTGTACTGCTTCTCAGAATAATGCTAATATGGCCTCTGATGTCCTCTTGTAGCAGGTGTAATCATCCCGTCCTACACAGGTTCTACTGTGTTTCTGTGTAAGATCTTTGGAGGCCTCTTCTGGGGAAGGAGATGGGGTCCCCACTGCACGATTCCTGATGTGAAAAATATGTCTCCAGCTTGAGTTCTTCCAAACTCTACTCAGCCCTCCTAGCGCCCATGCTCACCCACTGGATAGGACACAGGAGAGAGGGTATAAGCCAGCCTCCTCCTGGCGCGCCCACCCGCATCACACATACATACGGCCTGGCCGTGTAGGGCAGGCTGCTCTGTGACCACTCCCCTCTCTGCTGGACATGACCCTCCAGTTCTCTCTTCTTCAGCTCAAGTTGGTGCATCTGCCCATTAGAAGTCCGACTGTGGAATGAGATGCCGGTTTCCTCTTCTGGCAGTTTCCCCCACTCTGCATGGGCCTTCCTCTTAGAGATCTTCCCACCAGGCTCTGAGTGCATGGGGACACCTGTCTCCTCCTGTGCCCTCTCCTCAGTGGCTTAGGTCTCTGTCCTTCCCCAACACCAATCTTCTGCCTATTCACACAGGCAGCTGACGGTGACTGGGCTCACCACCTCCTGGTCAATCATGAAGAGGGTAGCTGTCTCCATTATGGGCAACTTTCTCTTGAGAATGTTCAGTACTTAGTTCCTACAGGAAATTTCCCACTTAATGTCTTATTACATGAGTATTATCTTCCAACGGTCAGAGAAAGTTACCAGAGAGTTAGGAAGGGAAGAGAGGGTCTCATGCATCACTTAGTTTATTTTTTTAAATTCACATAAAATTTTTTCTCAATGAAGAAAAAAACTCTACCACTGGTCACATACACTGAACAGAGTTTGTATGTGGCTTTTATACATTTGAAAGATGTTATAATAATTATTTTCATTTATGAGCTACGTCTTATAAAAAAGTAAAACTTCTATAAGTTCCAACAATTAACTGACTCAATACAAAGGGTAAAAAGTCAGATTTTTTAAAAAGAGTTGGGAAAAAAAGGCAGTTAATTGTGTTTTAGTTGTGGAGGTCGCTGAAGAAAATGCTGATACATTTCAGATATCACAGTAATTCTCCTGGCAATAAATAATTTATCAGGCTCAAAGAGCAGTTACTCTAGGTAGATTAGCTGTAACTGGCGTCTTCATAAGATAAAATGTCTCTTCTTCTAGACACATGGTTATTAGACTGAGTTTTGGAATGAGGCTTTTTTTTTAATGCAAAAGAGTTTCCATCACAGATTTTCATTATATTTATGAAGATAATATTTCACAGTACAACTTGTATTGAAGTGCTGAGTTCTGAATGGTTCTGGGAAAGAAAAAATTGGTGATTTCACTGGGAACCCATATTCCTAGAACAGCAGTGATTTAAATCTAAGTTTTAATTGAGCTTTAGAGTGTCTTCATCTGTAAATAATAATAATAGTACTTGACCTATTTATTTTGCCAGGTTGTTCTGCAGCTCATGGTAAGCTGCATGAGAGAGGGAATTTTTTTAAAGCTAAATTTCTAGCACCTAGAACACAGAAGGCCGTCAAGCGTGTTTACCAAATCACTGGAACTGTAGAATGTGTTCAGAGTTTCTTGACAAAGAGTAAAGCAGGACTGGAACATTAATTACTACTATTCATTATCATTTGTAGTTGGTTCGTCTTCTCGCCACTTGGGCTTTTTTAGTCAATGACATCACTGCTGACACATTTCTGGTGAATGCACCAGAAATGAACCTTGAAGAGTTCTTGTTAGAATGGTTCTCATTTTTCCTGATACAGGCTGACACAGGGTTTCTCACTTTGTTGAAGGGAGAAGGAATATTTGTAATTAGTATACCTATGCATTAAAGGCCTGCTTGTACTGAGCTTGGAAACAATTCTATAAAAGGATGTTAAACATCCCTCTGCAAGTTTCATTTGCTTATTTCTCAGGCCAACTTAGTTTACCTCAACCTGAATTACCATGAAATCCAAATAAATGGGGATTAAGGAAAGATAGAGTAGTCTTATAACTGAGATATAGTCAATAATTGAATGTGGATTTCTTTGATGAAGCAAAGGCATATTACGTTATGTTTCTCCTGGCTCTGGAAATGTTTTCTTAAAATACAACACATG